TTTTTTGATATAGGTAATATTAAGGGTCTATTTCACTACCCTTAAGTACATATGGATATTGAGTAAATGCATAATTGGAACTTATCTACTTAGTATTTTACTTAGAGGTGGTGAAAAAGAGCTTAGTTTGTGATATCCATTGAATAAATATGAAAGAACATTGATAGATATCGACATATTTACACTTTTTATTGCAGCAGTATAATAGGAACCTCTAATGCATATTAATGTAACATAAATCTAAATCCATATAGTAAAGAACGAAAAAGTTACAATAATGGACAATAATTATTAGATAGTAAACAAATTATTTACACAACGATGACATAAAATACATAGACTAATAGTCTAAATTAATGAATATTCTGGTAGATTTGTTAAAAATTATCTTATTTAAAATGTTTAATATTGTTGTCGTATAGAATGTACATTTAATTAAATATATAATTGTCATTTTTATATTCCTTATTAATACTTTTTATTCCAATTTTATAATAAAAATAAATACAGAAAATATATGAAACCTAAAATAAATATAATCCAGAGCCCTTTCACATACACCGCTGTCTTTGATTGCTATTTATATTAAAATGGTTTTACCGGGACGAGTATCTAATAAAAAAAATACGCCTTTTCGTGCAAACTTTTGAAACTTATCTTTTATACAAACCTTGTCCTGGTACAAATACGATAAAAATATTATCTTATCTTGTACAGTCGTTCTGAAGTTATTATAAGCTATCGTACATATAGTATTTGGGAGATTAATTTTTGTGTAGATATAGACACATAAGATAATAAAGGTGAGAGAAATTCCTTTAAAAATGATTAATTATATTATTTACCATGCATATGTTATTTGTTTTATTTACTAGCTTTCTACCAGCGGCCCGCGTGACTCAGTAGGTATTATACATTTAAATCTTGCTGAATTAAATGTATAATACCTTATTATAATACCTAATAGTTGAGTATGAAATAGTACAGGTAATGTTTTAGTAAGATAATTTTTCAATCGTTTTTATATTGTTTTTTTAAAGAAATTTCTTCACTTATTTCTATTTCTAATGTTTTTTTGAGAGTCAGATAGATAGATAGAGATATTCTGCCATTATATGTTGAGCTGTAAGTAAATCTATATTTCAAGTATTGCAATTAAAGAATATTGTATGATACACTATTCTTTTCTAATCTAATATTTCGGACTCACTATTTGCTTTCATATTTTTATATTTAATACACGAAGCTTAGCAATACATATAATTATAAATATTATTATATATATATATATCTAAACAATGTACCTACATTTAATGATAATTATAATTTATCTTAATTTTGGCATTACTTAATATTCATAATTTTAACTAACAATAATAAGCCAATTTTCTTAAAATCGGTAATAAACAAATTTACATAAAGAATTCGAATATAATCACATCCTGTACATACTTTTCTGAAGATAAAATGTGACGATTTTTAGCAAATACCAAACCGTTTAAAAGTTATTTCATTAATGGATAATGCCCGTGAAAATATAAGAAATAAAAAAAAAATACCAAATTTTTAATAATTCTAGTTTTTTTCCAAATCCGTTAACGCACTGCCTTTTTATAAAATCTATATTAATATAAACATCATGTATCTAAAACAAAAAAAAAGCGATTTCTTACACTCCTGTCTATCGTCAACAGAAGCAAATATTTGATAATATGTCATAACTTCAAAATATTTGATAATATGTTATAACAGATATTTTTACCAAATAAACAAGAATTTCAATGAAGTAAGCTATTATTAGCTATAGCAGTTCTTACTGCGTTCAAATTTTCGTCTATTGGGTAAAAATTTTTTTTTAAATTATGACATATTCTCATGTGATTACTTCTCTTCACTATAGATAAGATGTTAGTGTGTGGGACTCCACTGATATGTACACAGTTGCTAAATAAACCGTTAGCCAAAGAAGGCCGCTAACGAAGCTTCCAATTCACATACTTTCATAAATTTTGCCCAGAATTTTAATAATGTTTGGAAATAACTGTTCACATAATTATGTGACACATAAATTATTTTCAAACAGAATTTTTAAGTTTATGTGATAAATCTATACACTTGTTTTAGTGACCCGCCATCATTTCGAATAGATTTTGGACCACACAATTCCGATGTCTATGATTCGGACTAACGCACAAAACGCAGCGCAGAGTATTTATTACTACCAAAGCGTTTTTATTTTATACAATATTAAAATAATTTCTATGACAAAAATTGAAGACATGTGAATTTGTGGCGACATTTATTGAGTCAAGACATTCCTTGTCACAGCCGCGTTCACATAATTATGTGACACATAAATTATTTTCAAACAGAATTTTTAAGTTTATGTGATAAATCTATACACTTGTTTTAGTGACCCGCCATCATTTTGAATAGATTTTGGACCATAAAATTCCGATGTCTATGATTCGGACTAACGCACAAAACGCAGCGCAGAGTATTTATTACTACCAAACAACTACCAAAGCGTTTTTATTTTTTACAATATTAAATTAATTTCTATGACAAAAATTGAAGACATGTGAATTTGTGGCGACATTTATTGAGTCAAGACATTCCTTGTCACAGCCACTGACAGATATGGGAAGGACTGTTGAATCGGTCTTCCAGAATTTTCATTATTAATCTAAGTACTTCCATTTTTTTTTCAAAATACAGGAATGAAAAGCTCAGTAAAAGCTCATTGTATTTTTTCTCAAACACCATGACATTATGATCATAAAAGGTGTACTGCCACGCAAAATATATTTTATATTTTGTCCTTTTTAAATACCTTGTTTCCTCATAACATGCATTAAAATATGTTAGGTATACATTAGCGAATTGATATCGTCTTTTCTAAATACTAACATTTATTTATGCAACGCTATTTTTATAAGCATCGATCGAATCATTCATATAAAAATTAACGTTTACGTTATTTAGACGTTACAAACCTGCGCTTCACTTCTAAAATTGAATTTCGATATATCGTGAACAGATTTATCGTCTGTCTTGCTCTAATTACGTATTTTTTTAATGTAACAGAGCAGCATAACGTTCACGATTATAGGAATATTGGTTTTAAGAGTTTGACCCCTGTGATATTAACATACGCTCAGTTACAAAAACGTCCCTTAAGTTTTAATGTCGCCTTTAAGCTCTAATTAATGTCAAATTTGTATTTTAAAGCGACATTCGCTTTAAAATACTGAAAAATTTATTGGATGTTTATGCAATTGGCTGATGGTGTCTTAATAGCGATGCAATTGCTATTTTTAATATAAAACATCGCTATTATATAAGATTCGTAGGTATGTACTAGCCTGTTTTTATCATTACATATCAGTATGAAGATATTTTCTACCTACAATAGCTTTATTTTCTTACTATCATAATTTCATTTGCCAATTAGAGTTAAACTTTTACTTGGCACGAAATCTAAACATTATATATTAGTTAATTAAAATTGAACACATGCAATGGCATTGCAATATATATTTCAATCCAATCTATCCTAATATATCCACTAATATTTTACAACCTAAGTTTTTATATTAGCAAAACAACTTATAACAAGCAATTAGAATATATCATTATTAGTAGATACTGTGACTTCCTTACAACAAAACGATGCCTAAAATACACCCTCATTGTTCGAAACTAATGGCTTATTACAAATATTTCTGAAACGTCTAACAACTTCAAAGTAATAATAAAAGTTGTTTTTTTTAATGTGAGCTTTTACTTTATAACCAAACTAGAGGTATTGTGTATGTAATCGATAGAGTCTAAACTCGACGAAAAGTTGTCATAGACACCTTTCAGTTGTTATAAGGCGCATGGCTTGATATCAAAAGTGGCACGGCTGACATTACGAGTATTATTTATCTCGTTCTCGTGGCATTTAATTAATTTTATTATTATCTTAAATTTTTATTTGTTATCTTAAAGTTTAAGGTCCAATTTCAAATTATATCGCCGTCTCATTAAAAACATTACTTTTGTATATTAACGATATTTATGAAGTTAAATTTAAGCATCATTTTGTAGTAGGTCAGTAAGTAGACGTAGAAGTATATATGAAAACTATGACAGTAGAAGTTAGAATATTATTGATATGATATATTATATGTAGTGATACAATGTGCTAGAGATATGGTTAGTTACAATTATATATGTATGTTTGATATTGTAGGATTCTAACACGTAGAGAGATTTAAATCTTTTAAATTAAATACATAGATTACAGTAATGTAGCTCTGAAATTTAAAGTAGTTTCCCAAATACTTAAAGGAAGCATACATGTAGCATTATTCATAGTAGAAGCACAGGTACATAATGTAAGCGTCCCTTGTATAGAAGATAAGCATATGCAAGCATATAAGACACTTTTCAACAACATTTTTAACACAAACTTAAATATTATAAATATAAGGAACACAATTACTGATTTGTAATCCTATAACGAATGTTACGACGAGCACTTACGAACACTTAACGTGAATCTAAACTTACAACTAAAACAAATGTCCAATAAAAGTAGCGCAAAATAAATGAGTACTCGTCACTACCAGCCGCCAGTACACCATACTGACTCCAAAGTCAACCTCACGCTCCGAAACTACTACCGGCTATATTAAAGTTGAGATCGTGAGAAAACACAACAACAAACAACAGCCCTATTCATATTTTAACAGATTTAGGCAAATCTAAAACTGTGAGTTATGAAAACTTTTTACAGTTGTAAATACCAAAGCGATCCATAGCTAGTTAATATTCCGATTTCTCGTTTGAAGCCGTCATCTTATCATCAAGCCTATCACACATCGCACGGAGGTCGGAAAAGTTGGTTTTGAAGTCACAAGGTGTCCCTTGGGAACTCCAAGCTGCCTCGCCTAACGGCGACACGACCTCTGGCGGTCGGTGAAGGAGTGCCTCATCTATTTGCGCACCCCGCGCTATGGGTCCACCTCATGGCAGACTTCCATGTAGTCGGGGTCATGCATGATGTCCTTTATCATGTCCTTCAACATTGTGTATCGGGGGAACATCGGATACACCTTCGAGCTTACGTAGTCTGACTGTAAAATAAAAAAAAAACCTTATTTTGGAGCTGTTATTTTTCAAAAATTTATATATATAATTGTATAACTGTATGTACCGTCAGTTTATAATACAACTTTAGGATTATTATGATCCAATTTTACTAAACCTATGATAATAGTTTGGGATCTAATGAGAAACATATATGTATATTTTCAGCATATAGGTTATGATAATACTAATATGCAATCACGCAGCATTCATTGATTACTGCATTGCACATTACATTACATTACATCGATGTACCTATATTAAATAAAAGTTTGAAAAAAGGCTATTTTTGAAAATTTTAAATGTTAGTTTCGCTTTGTAGATTTTTTTATTAGATACTGCCTAGCTTTATTTTCCTATTATAAACGCCACTATCTGTAAATATGGCAATAATATAATGTATAGCTAAGTATACTGTGATTTTAGCATTATAGTTTTAATTTAATGTAATGTTATCACGGCAGGTTTAACATCAACAGTACTAGTAAACATTTGCCAATTTCGAATAAGCCGACGTACGGACTCGTCATTTACTAACAGTTTTGTGAAGATGTTCTTGTCAAAAATTACTTCTTTCATTTGTGTAGGAATCTAAATTAAAGCGTTTCAAAGAGTTCTTTTCATCATTAGTTAACCCTGAAATAATTTATCACTTTGTATTGTTTAACTTCGTCGCTCCAGAAGATTACATCTGGAAACTTGTCGTGGCGGTTACACAGGGCAAGCGTTTAGGCGTCGGTCGGGTTAATTTCCATTTAAACGTGATTACGGTAATTTTGATTAATGCGCCCCTAAAGTACCTTTAACTCTCTGATGAGATTCCTTAAGCCGGTGTACTTCTTCAGCAGGCGGTACAGGTCATTTGTCATCTGGGTGTTCTCAGCTTCAATTTGGGAGGTCGTCATGTCTGTATAAACGAAGATTTTTTTGTATAAACGATGAAAGTTTTACGTGTTAATTCCTTATAAAATGAACAGTAGGTAGGTATTTGATAACATAATCCAGATTAAATAGGATAGAGATTCTACTACATTGAATGCTACACTAATTTTAGTACCAGATGTTGTATTAATTATTCCCTCAAAACCAAACGTTGTATTAATTGTTCCCTCAGATCATCAGCCCTTTTACGTTCCCACTTTAGGACCTCAAGCCTTCTTTATGGATGGTTAAAGAGCATAGGCCTTAGCCTATGCTCAACGCTGGCCCAATGCAGATTAGAAGGCATTAACGACTGCAAATGCAGCCGGCATCAACGGCTTAACGTGCCTTCCAAAATATGGAGTAGATCGAGATACTTATTTGGTCACCCATCCCGTGACCGAACAACGCGAAAGATTTTTGGTGCAATTGTAAGCTATTGCAGTTTTTTTTATCCCTGAAAGTAATTATGCAGCGGCAAGTTGTAGCTCGATGGCACAGTGGTTAGCGCACTCGGTCTTTGATACACTAAGGCCTGTCATAGAATGGCTGACCAAAAATTTATTCTCTCGAGCTCCTCTATGCTGCAGAAGCCGTTGGTGCCGTCTGCATCTGCAGTCGTTAAGACCTACCGATGTGCATTGGGCCCTTTTGGTGGGATAATTAAGTTTGATTCGAGTCCATCCATAGGGAAGGCCTGAGTTCCAGCAGTGGGCACATTGATAATAATAATAAAGATGAAGAATAAGATTTTCTAAAAGATTTACTTTGTAGTATAACGCATTGATGTGAAACTTTTGACCTTCTCCAAATCTTATCTATGAGTAGTGTGCAATGAACGGACTTTTAAATTGATTTCTTTTATGAGATATTTCATAAAAGATAAAATAGATCATTGTTACCATAAATTGATAATTATGTGTGTAATGATAAGCCTTCTAAACAAGACATTTTCGTAATAATTGGGAACCTCAAAATAGATGATGATTATCATATTTGATCAATTTTGCATTTTTAATGCTATCTTGCTACTGCTATATTAAGTTTTTTTAAGATTTTTTTATTAAAAATAGACTTTTACTTTTAATTTATTCATAATATTAGTTTTAAACTATCGTAACCCTGTTATGGCCGAGCGGGGCTCATTACAAAATAAAATGATTTGTTTGAAAGAAGCTTTAATGTCTTTAGTTAAGCTCAGATATACAATTTTTTTGAATATTTGCTTTGATATGTTATTGCCCTACCTATCAATCCTAGGCCTGTGTGGTGGGTTAAGGTGTGTTTTAAAATCGAAGTTGAAGTCCAATGTTATTATATATCCGTATTATAGGCTCCAAATTGATGTGTGAGAATATTGGACTTCCAGTAGATAGTATAATAATAGAATGCAAGTCATTGAGATTCTGCGTCTATTATGTAAACATTATCGTATTATTGATCTGCTGTACTGCAGCAGTGGATTCATTAGGCTGATGATGATTATTGTATTATGTCACATACTAGTTTTAAATTATTTTAATGGCAGTCGTAGAGCACAAGAGCTTTGTATTCCGTTATGGTTACAGAATTCAACTCATTTTATTGTTTGCGCTTAATTCGAGCTTAGGGAGGGATTTGAAGTGACCGCAGCCCTTAATTTGAATTCGGGTAGGCGACTCCAATTAATTTTACAAGAGAATTTGCTATACGGAGTAATTGAAAATGGGCGAATTAAGAATTATTGAGATACTAAATGTGAAAATTATGAATTTGCTGTTTTCATATTGACATCTTAATTTAACCAGTAATACCATAATATTGTATTTCTTCTATTGATTGAGATTTTAAATTTACTGCCTTTTTATCTAGGTACTTTGAATTCCATACTATTATTTGTTAAACTATTAAAAATGAGATATTACAAAACAATAACTGAATAGAAGAGGAAAGAAAAAGGTATTTTTTCCACAGTAGGGTCTATTATTACAAAAACCTAATAATCTTTCTGTGGGTATTACTTACCATTCAGTCTTTCTATCCTTTCCCTTCTATCAGCGGCTTCTTCGGCTAATTTGGCTGAAGTCTTAACTCCTTCACCTGACTTTTGAGTCTTCTCCATAATAGCACACGCTCTTAGTACAAATGCTGGCACCGTCTCCGCCTTCTCCTGGCGAGGGATCTCTACCAGCGACCAGTATTGAGTCTCCAAACGGATAACGTCCTTAAAATAAAAACAGATAAATGTCATTTAGTTTTATTTACAGTGAACACAGCACGATAGGATATCAAATTTCTCCACTTGATTTTAGACTTTAGGTATTTTGTTGGTAGAGTATACGATCAAATGGATAAACTTGACATATTCTTGTAACCTGACGTGCAACCGCGTTACCAACACAGAAACTTAATGGGATGTCGCTTTTAATAGAGTTGGTGAGGTTCTTTTCTAATAGACATCCTGAACGGGTGGTAGATAAAAAATATTACACGTTTCAAAACTATTTTTAATAATTTATTTGAATATAAAATTACTTTGTCGAATTTCTGAAACCTATTTTGAACTTGTCATTTGAAAAACTGGTCATTGTTGAAAATAGAGAAGGAAAAAGATCACGAGGTCGGTCGCCGATACGATGGTCTGATCAGGTGAAAGGAGCTACATCCCTACCCAAGTTCTGCGAGATGGTGAGGGCTGCTTCCGACCGGAATCGATGGAGAAGAATTGTTCGTTTGACGAGTTCCAGTGACCACGATCCTCAGTAATGAGGGACCGACTACAGAGAGAGGCATATCGTAGTTAAGTGGCTCTGTCGACTGTACATTATTAATGAGCACTCAACTTAATATCGATTTGGTAAAAGCTTTGCTATCTAAAGCTCAGCTTAGCATACTTAGAGATTATGGTGCTTAGTTTCCTGCTTCCATCAGTTCCTAGTAACATACCGATGAATATGATTTAACCTACCTATAGCTTTTGATTTAAATTGTAAAGTAACTACAAAATAACACTACTTTAATTCATTTATAGTAGTAACATTAGAGATGTCTATAATAAGTGATTTACCTTTTGGATATACTTTGAAATACTTATTCATATACCTTTTAGTATAACAATATTATTATTACTACGAGTATTATTATTATTACATCCGAAAAGGATAAGGGACGACAGGGACAAAAAATCTTAGGTACCTACTTATATGAAGTCGGTAATAAGCACAGAACATAGAGAGAGATCTATGTTCTGTAGTAATAAGCATAGTCAAAATGAAAATTCTAACAATTTTAATGATAAGGAAATAAGTTGTAGTAGATTACCTACTTCTCATATACGCATAATCAGATATTTAAAGGGTTCTCGGTAATCCGTAATAAACTCAAAAATTCAACACAAAATTATGAAGTTTTGATTAAATTCCTTCCTTTCTTTCCGCTTATTGAATCAATATTAACTCGAATATGAAAAGTCAATTGAACAAGGGATAGAACGAGGAAATGGCACAGACTTTTCGTTCTTGAAAAATTGAAGAGTCGTTAACAGTTCCCATTGTTCTCTCGAGATGTTTGCTGGTAACTTGACAAACTAACTTTTATTGAAAAAATTCTTCAAGCGAATTAGATGCAAATTGAATTCATATCACACAATGAAAAGATGTGGACTTCGTTAATGTTTCTATTGAAATAATGCTTATTATACAAAAATAATTGTTTTCTCTGGACTTCGACCGCTTAAACTATAGTGTATGGCACTCGCTATTGATGTAGTAAGTTGTTGATGTAGATAAGTGATTTTTTAAATAGGTATAATAATTTAGGAGCCTATTCAATGAAAGAAACAAACAGAATATAGGTAAAAAATTGTGCTAAGGTAAGACACATCGGTGTCCGTGATTTAATTCTAAAAATCTATTTCAATAGATTTTTATTTCGTCACAAATTTCTCGGCCTGCTTGGAATAATAAGAAGCTTTGATATTTAATATTCAGTGACAGACAATCTCATTCTAGATAGCTTTCGTCCGTAATATCGCCGCAAGATAGTTTTGCAATCTAGTAACTTTGAAATGAAACTTTATGTTATAAATCTGTTTTTTTTAAGGGAACTATATCTATTAAGATATTGGGTACCATTTAGTTTTTTGAGCGGTAATACAGATTTTATACATTTATGCAATTTATTTGCCAAAATTCAAAACTGATGTTGAAATGTTCTGGAAGTAAGTCAAATATAAAGTATAGAATACTGTGAGCTGAATTAGGTTTTCTTAAGAAGTTTGAATTTTTTATAACGTCCTAAAACTTTATCCGTAAGGTATTGACAGACTTGTTAAAACAAAAAATTATTTGATAAAAGTAAAAAATAAGCGAGTTTTATAATAATCTTTGTGCTTAGTTGAAATATTTTAATTTCTAGAAGAATAAATTAAATGTGCAAATTGTTGAAAGAAAATTAAGTTCTAAGGTAAAAGATTAAGTGTGTACTTAGTTAAGTAAATATTCAAAATACAATCCAAAAAATAAAACACCAAAAAATTATATAACTATAAATAAGATAAATATTTACTACTTGAACAGGTAAGTATTAACATTGACAAAACACTTTATATAATTAGTACCGACTTCAAACATTAGAAAAGTGAAAAATAATACTCATTATAGCGGTTACACTTTTCAAGGAAAATTGAACTTGCGCTGCGGTTTTCTGTAGTTTATTAAATGATAAAAGTCTGACTTCAATGTTTTTTTTAATTGAAAACCGGAGGAGGTTTTCAATTCAATTATTTGAAGTCGTTTAAAAATGAGAATTTATAATGAAAAATGTAATGAGTTTGCCAAAGCTATTTTGTGGTTGTAACATACTTGCTATAACCATTTTTTAAATATTCATTTCTGGGCTAATTCCGATTTCACACTGAAAAATAACCTCAAGTGAGCGTCTTGAATACTCTCAATGTTATTTTAACTGATTAAAAGATTCTTAAGGTAGATCTTTAAAGGTGTATTAAACTTTTCCAAAGAGAAAAGTATATCAATGACCAACAAATGTTGTATCAAATTGCTGCGTATTGAAATTTTTAAAAAATTTTAGTGTTTATCACAATCTAGTATATATATAGGTATGTTACGAACTGAGTCATAAATGTCCGGGTATTAACAATAATGCCTTAACAAATTTCCAACTTATCACATGACCTACAAGAATAAAAGAATGTCCACTTTGCAATTAAATGAAATATAAATTATCCTCTTTCATATCTCTATCTACCTTGTGTGTTCATAAGTTTTGAGACTTACTTTTTACTAAAAAAATAAAATAAAATGTTACTGGCCGTTATTTATTTATTTTACCAATTTTGAATTTGGAATGTTAACCTTAGTTTATTTGTATCGCAAATTCATATGTTTATATTTTCTCGTGATAGAGAGAACGAAACAATTATGTGCAACAGTCATTTCGCTATTTAAAGCGAAAAAAAATCCAATGCATATTTTCCGCGAGCTGGAAAGTTTTCCTGAGTCAAGTTCTCTGTAAGATCGCCAAAGGAGTGGTCGGCCACGCTCTGTGAGCACGCCTGCAAACATCAAAATCATCCGAGAGCGACTTCGCCGTAATCCATGTCGCCTTCAGAAGAAACTCGCTCTGCAGACTAACTTTCGCGCGTTTCAGTGAACAGAATACTGAAATATGATCTTAAGGTAATACGATCTAAAAGTTTACTTTTTAAATTATCGTTTTCGTAAGTTACGACGCGAACATTGTCCATTGCTCCTGAGGAGACACGATGCTAGGAAGATAATCTTCACCGACGACAAACATTTTAACCGTCAAAGAAAAGTTTAACCCACAAAACAATAAAGTGAAAGCTTTGTATTAACTGCTCTACGCGATAAGTGGCGGCCATTATGTCTGGGCAATTTCTAGACTTTTTATCACATTGTCCTTTAATATTGAGCATTTTCATATTGCATGGACATTATTTATGATCTCCGATTAATTGCTTTGCCCGTGATACATATACTTTTCTTTTTACGGTCTAGTGATGCAGCTTAGCAGAGGATCGTAGTAGTCTAAAAATGTAATAGTATGATATAAATTACATGAAAATAAACTCGTTTATAACTTGCTTTATTTCATGGACACGCTTCATTTTAGCCTGCGCAAAATATCCTCTTCACTTCCGCTCACTGCTCACATTCAACTATAAGGTCATGGTAATAATAGCCCCTTCCTATGTTTGAATAACTTTGAATAATACTTGATACTTTTGCAAAAAGTTTATGTTAGTGTAAAAAATATTTTTATTCAATATTATGAGTATATTTTCATAATAAGTTACGATTGTCAAACTTGAAGATTTTGTGAAGTATTAGCTTTCCGCCAGCGGCTTCTCCCGCGTGGTCTTATATTATACGTATAAACCTGCCTGTTGAATCACTCTCTATATTTATGAAAACTGCATTAAAATCGTTTATGTGGCTTAAAAGAACTTTGCGTACACACAACAATAAGCGACTATGATTTAAAGTAGTAGTCAAGCACTACTAAAAAACTATCATAATGAAACTTTCAACATAGAAGTTATATCTACTTTAAAAAGCATGAGGTCTCGCATGTTAACTTGAATCTTGGCGGTACGAGTAACCAGATGGACCCAAACCCATTTAAAATAAAGAACAAATTGCTTAAAACTGGATAAGTACATTGGATCGGCGCCAGATTGCGGCACTCGCTCGCAATTGAACTACTGTTTTTCCTTGTTCTTGGCTATAATAAAAGTGGAAAGGGGAGCATTTTCAAAAAAAAAGTTCAAGAAATTTTGTCACCATCATTGTAAAGAAGCAATGAATTAAAACGAATAGACAGTAGACTAAACTTACTTACTATATTGCATACATTTTGGCCGTTATAAATTGCTTAGTTTGAAGCTTGAAAAAAAGTAGTGAGAACAGAACTTTATAACGGTTCTCTGTTTTTTCGCTCAATAATTATTTGCCAATTTATCATAAAATCTTGTTTTATTTCTCAACCAGTGCGTAAATTTATGCAATTAAAAAACTACTAAGATTTAAATATTCAGTTTTACTTTAGTATGATATTATAAATCACACTGCAAGTTAAAACAGAATTTCCTTTTGAAAGGCGAGGATGTTCAAATCTCAAGAGAGCAACAAAATGAACAATAACTTACGTTTTCCCTAGCGCTTGACGATGCTTCAACTTCAGTAAAAAGGAGTCTTTTTACTTTAT